TTTTAAATAAAATTTAATAATATTCTATTAAAAATAAATTTAAATTATTAAAAAAAGAATTTATGTGAATGTATCTATTGTTATTCAAAAGAGTTTTCAATTAGAGATCCAAAAGAACATAGTGCTTAGATAATAAAATGAAAGCTTTAGTCTCCAGAATAAGTATTAAGCTGACCTATAAAGATTTGTCATTTCAGTGCTTCTAGAAAAATCATCCAAAAGGAGACAATCTCCAACACTATAGGACAGGGGGTAAAAAAAATCAAATTTTGACTGAAGGTTTTTCTGTCCTAACACGGCTACTGGTGGTCAGAGTGACCTGATTATATTCGTGATCAAAGGATATTTAGAGCCCGCAGGGACCACGGAGATCCTTTATCCCTCACGCACGCCTTTCACATCAGGAAACAGGGTCAGAGTTCTGTAATGTTCCAAACAAGCAATTTTAAAAGAAAATGCACAGAAGTTTATGAATTTTGTTTCTAAAGGCACCATGCTTTAAGCAGAGAGTAGAGTAAGGGAATAAGAGAGACAGACCTGGAAGAGTAATTCTCCACATATTAGCTGTGAGGCTTGGGAGAGTGGCTTAGCCTCTAGTTTCCTGTGAACGACGTAGTTACAAATGCGAATAAAAATTTTACATATACTAGGGGAAGTGAGAATCCTCACCAATCCCGAGGTTCATAAAGTGTAAAAAAAAAAATAAAGAGCTTCCAGTTGAGAGGGTTACAAGGGGTCATCCTGCAGCCTCAGGAGGGGGAACTAAGCTTTAACTACAGTAGGAAAGTGAGAGTAATATGAAAAAGATGAAGGATAAAGAGAAGGTTGTTCATCCTGGGCAGAATTCCACACAGTACAATGAAAAGGTTTGGAGGGAAAGAATGGGGAAAAGTGCAGTAAAGATAAGCAACTGGAGAGCTATTTAGTAGAGAGCAATTTGACCAGAGAGAGCAGACATGTAGGAAACCACAGGTTTAATGGGTTACAGGGTTACAAGCAAATGAATCGAGGAAGTAAGATGGTGTGGAGGGCTCTCTGGTCTGTCAGGATTCACCTACTACTCAGATAGATGACTTCTCTGATAGGATGCCTGGTGGAAAAGGAGAGTTCTGTCTCTCTCTAAGTAGCCACTTGTGACCTGGATCGATTTCTCGGATTCTAGTGAAAAGCTCCGGGCTTGGGGCTTCAGACAAACGGGCTCCAGATTCCTGAGATCCTTTGTGGCATTACACTCCCCAAGGGGGAGCAACAGGACATTTTTTAGAATCCCATTCAGAGGCTTGTAGGGTGCTGGTAGAGAGTATACTTTCAATAAATGCTTCTCGATGTAACAAAGAATGTCCTTCGTGGTTAGCAAAGTACCCCAAGTAATCCTTAATGACAAAAAAATGTATCTGAAGCCAGACTGCTTAAATTTAACTTCCAAAATTGACATTTACTAGATGTCTGTGACCCTAACTATGCTTCGATTTCCTTATCTATAAAATCATGATGATAATAATAATACCCAACTCAAAGGGTTGTTGTGAGGACTCAATGAATTACAACATGTGACGTGTTTAAAACAATGCTGGGTACACAGTAAACACCTTCCTGAGACATTGTTTTCATAAAGCACGAGATCAATTAGCTTTGTAAACTTTTATATTAGCATACAGTACAATGAATGAGTTAACTATGTCTTCAAACTTCAACTATCACTTATGTCTGGGTCTATGAAGCTACTGCTTACCGGGATCAAAATTATCACCAAATATGCGCTTGGCAGGAATCTTCAGGGCCATAGTGGGAAATTGTTTCTTTAACTAGAATTTTAAAAAGTAACATTATATGAACTTAATTTTATAAGTTTTCTAGTTATGCAGCACCAAAATAAAATACAATCTATTTGCAAGAAAATCCATTGTAAGACATACTTTTAACTATATCATGAGCAAATGTACAATATTGAGTTATACCAATAAAATACCATAGACTGTCTAATCATCTTATTTTGTGCCAATAGAACAGTTAGCAGCTTTGTGACCTTGATAAGTTACTTAACATCTCTGTACCTCAGTTTTCTTGCCTGCAAAATAGGGATAATTTTAGCACTTCCCTTACAGACTTGTTGTGAGGCTTAAAGGAAATCATTTACGTCAAGGGCTTAGACTAGAATGTAGTATATAAATTTTGAATACATATTACTCACCATTTATTACCTCAGGGGAAGATGTGATCTTTGTGTTCTCTCTATATGAACAGATTGACAATTGTTTTCTAAGATAGCTGATGAATTTTGCTTTTAACATTCTCTACTTCAGCTTTCCCCCTATTGCTATTCTAAAACATTTATCAGATTTGTTTATCCCCAGAGAAGGAACAACTAGGCCCCGAGGAACTTAAGTTTGTAGCAGTAAAGTCATAAATAAGGGTTAATGCTTATTTTTATTATAACCTTCAGGTAAGCGTCCTCCCTACCCCCTCTCCCACACACAGAAACTATGTATCTAACTAGCAACTGACAGGAAATAGAAAGAACAGAAGAATGTATTAATCACTCTACACCACTGGCATGCTATCAGCAAAATCCAGACCGAAAAGTCTGTAGACAAATGACACTGCTTTTTCCACAAAAAGCTGTAAAGGCAAGATAAGAGAGGTGGAAGATTAAAAGCCACTTAATAGACCTATCAACCAGTCACATAAATACTGAGTGATTATTTGATGGTAAGACATGATCATTAGTTTAGTTCTAGATGTGATAATGTTATGTGTGTGTGTTTTTAAGGACCTTTATCTTTTTCAGAGATGATACTAAAATATTTACAGATGAAATGATACGATGAGTGAATTTTGCTTCAGAATCACAGGGGGCCGGCTAGGGCCAGAGATGAAACAGGAATGGCCATTTAATTGTTGAAGCTGGATGGTACATTATATTATTTTCTGTGTTTGTACTAGTCGTTCTACCTCTGTAGGTATTAAGCAATTTCTACAATAAAAAGTTTAAAAATGTAAACAGTCATAAAAGCCCATGTAACCGATGATTAAAATGTTTAGAGATTGGAAATCATATTTTTGTCTTTTATTGTAAAAGAGGCATAAGAATTTGTATTTTCAAACTTAGGGAAATCAGGCTTAGTTTAAACTCACTCCTATAGTTTGAAAGAACACAACTAATACCATTCCCCTGTTTTTGTCTTTGCCCCTCACCCCAGGAGGCAGAATTGAAAGGGGTTATTTAAAATGAGAAAGGCAGGCACAGAAAACGAGGAAACGAGAAGAAGAAAAAAACAGAACAAAAAAAGAGAAATACAGGAAAAATGAGGAAGATGGATAATAAAAACTCAACTACATGTTAAGAAAATTGTCCGCAAAAATACTTAAAATGGGATGTTTGATGGAAAAAGAGAAAGAACATGACCATGGTAGGGAAATGCCCAAAAGAAACATTCCTACTTTACCTTTACCCTTAAAGATACTCAAATATCACCGCTCCCCCTAATTAATCACCAGCTATTTAAAAAGAAACCATCCCAAGGATGCTAGGCTTTGAACTCAGGCACACGCCTTACTGGTCAGTTTTTGGATGGCATCTCCTACAGTTCTACAAAAGGAGACACGTTTAGAAGGTAAATCTGGCCTATATGATCTTTTAAGCAAAATACAAAAAGAAATCTCAAATTTTCAATTATTAGTAGTTCACTGAACAAAATTTCATCTAAGTTCATATAAACCCTCTGTGCAAGTGTGCATGGGTGTTGTGTTACCATCATGCTATTTTTACCTGAGTATAACCCAGCTATCCGGATAGGCGAAGTCAGATTTGTACAATCATTAAAAAAAAAATGCTAGTCATATACATAATGGTATCCAAGAATTTCAAATAGAACTAGCAACTCAACCCTCACGTAGCCTCTAATATAAACGATTTTTTTTTAAATCACTGAAAAAAATTACAGAAGATATTCTCATGTACAAATTCTTACTGGCTATTAGTTTGTTTCAAAAATGTGACTTCACTTAGAGTAAAAAAATGACTGTCTTAATTAATATGTTAAATATTGATTAAGCAATATTTAAAACTATATACAGTAAGTTTCAGTTGCATATGCAGTGAAGAAAAACTAAGTAACAAAAGAAAACACAATAAATTTAACCAGAAATAACATGATGATTAGCAATTATTAGAGAGGCAGATGTAAAGGATTTATTTCTAATATTCTATAACATTAAAATATATTTTAAGTTGTACATCTAGTTTTCATACTTTCAATACTTTATTTGGAACTTGTCAACGGTCCCCTCTCCACCCTTTTGTATAAGAATTCCAAAGTCAGAATGCTTTTGAAGAATCTCTTACTCTTTTCTGCTTCTCTGATATATCTGAATATTATTTAATCACTCAAGTAAAATCTCTCGTATTTTTGAGTTTTCTCAGGTGTTTTGTTTTAAATAAAAACCTCGTAAAGTGACCATTACTTACAGTATTGTAAAGCTTATCGAATTCTGCATATCTTCTGAAGACAAACCACTCACTCCTGCCCACTGAGACCAGAACTTTATAAACCTGCGAAAACAAAAAAAATAATAAAAATAACACAATATTTGACTGCAAAAAAACATTAACTATTTAAATATGTGAATGTTTTCATACTCATGAAACTAACATTAGACATAAATGTTTATATATGATTCTCCAAGATACACAAGCATACCAACTGAAATACTTATTTTATCTTGTTGAAAGGTGACCTTTTATTTTTAAAATGCTATGAAATAGGTCTATAATTTTCAAAGAATAACACAGTGAATACCGTGTCCTCATTATTTAGATGAATCCTATTTTGCCATTCTTGTTTCAGATTTTCCTGCCAAGAATCAGACATTATAGATTCAACTGAAGATATTCTCTATTCTTCTCCAGCAGTACCACTACCCGGAAACTATAAAGTACTTTCAAAAGTGATGCCTGGCACATAGTAAATACTCAATTATTAGTTCTCCTTCTCCCAGGTCATCTTTTACATGGTAGTTTTCAAACTAAGAATTTATCCGCAGATTTCCTCCTACCTTAGTATTTTCCTATATACGTAATTGCATATAATCATAGTCAACAACCGTATGAAGTAAGCAGAACAAATATTACACCCCCCACTATACATATGAGTAAATGGCCAAAAAAGGTTAAGCAACTTGCCCAAGTACACAGACTTGTTAGACTAAGATCTAAATCTTCTAATGCCCACCGTGCATCAGAATCAGTATCAAATCAACAGTTAAATTATAGAATCAACTCTCACAATTCATCCCATAGATACTCTCACATTATAATTTAATATACCAATGTAAAGAAAACTGTTTGGGACCCCCCAAATATTACATCATTTCTAAAGAGAAAAATATCAAGAATCCAGGTTTATGAGAAAAGACTCACTGATATATGGCTTGTTTACCAATCTCATCATTTTACAGTATAAGACTAGGGGAAAGAGATAGGAGTAGCTTTGGGGTTTATAATACAATTGCCCACAATCTGTTAGACAAGTTAAAGTAAACCAGGTTAATTCTGGAAGATGGGTAAACATGTATAAACTATCCTTCCCTATGAAAGATTGGTAAGCTATACTCACAAGTTCATAGTTAGATGATACCGTGAGGAAAGGAACTCCCTGATAAGTATGTGATTGTACTGAACGAATTCTGTAGTATCGTTTAAGATATAATCACACTTACAGGCCAACAGTGGGAGGAGTTAAGTATTCACCTGGAAAGTGAAACAGTCACTAGTATCAGACACCTAAGTGATGAACCATCTAGACCGGGGGTAGGGAACCTTTTTTAGGCCAACGGCCATTTGGATATTTATAACATCATTTGCAGGCCATACAAAATCACCAACTTAAAAATTAGCCTGCTATATTGAGTCAAACATTTAAGTAACTCACCCCTAATGTCTTGGCAAGGTCAGACCAAATGATTTTGAAGACCTTATAGAGCAGTGATGGCGAACCTTTTGAGCTTGGCATGTCAGCATTTTGAAAAACCCTAACTTAACTCTGGTGCCATTTAACAAAGAAAAATCAACCAAAAAAATGAGTTTGCGTGTCACCTCTGACAAGCGTGTCATGGGTTCGCCATCACTGTTACAGGGCCTGCAGGCTGGACGTTCCCCACCCCTGATCTAGACTGACAGAAAAGAGCACCCTACAGGAGCCATAGGGTGGTGATATGACTCTTCTGGTCCTAACCAAGAAGGTATGTATCATGCTGTCTTAGAGGAAGCTATTAGGTGTAAGATGTCAGAAATGTTTGCAAGATGACACTGCTCACATGGAGAGTGTGCAGAAGTAGAGGGTCAAGAACCTGATCAAGGTGCCAGTGAAGGTGAGCCATGCTTCTAAGACTAGACTACATATTTACCTCATACATCATTCAGGACTGAATAGGCCTGGTGCAGGACTGCTACAAAAGGATCGGAAACTTAGGTTTCTCCAATTGCAAGCTTCTTGAATTACTTGTGCCAATTCCTGGTGTTGTAAGGCGGCTGGCTTCCCATCACTACCCAAATACAGCCAAACTAGAACCCAAGCCTGGGGTCCAGGCTGAAGCAGTTCTGCTACAAATATATTTACAGGAGCCGAGATAAAGCCCTGTGAATTATTAATTAGCAGTAGGGTTCATTAACAAGGGTTTATTGAGTAAGTTCTAATTTAAAAAATCAATAGACAAAAACAAAAACTTCAAATTTTAAAAAATACTTTAATTTACAAAAAAAATCACAAGATTACACAGAAAGCAGTATAATATTTATCACAATATGAAATGATCTTATTGAATTTTAAAAATACTTCTTTATTGTCTGTCTTGCCTCAACACAGAATGTAAGTTCCTTGAGAACAAGGGCTGTGTCATTTTTGCTAACTGCTGTACCCCAGTTGCCTAGAACAGTGTTTGGCATAACAAAGAAACTCAATGACTATTTGTTGAGTGGATAAACGAAAGTATAATTTAGACTTGGTTTAAGTCAAGACATCCTAGGATGCAATTCTGTTAGACGCTCCACAGTGCAGAGCTATATAAAGACATGTGAGCGTTACCTCGACCATGAAAAATAGGAGGACACCGGAGATAACCTACCGACAATGTTGGCGAAGTATGAACTTCCCTCAAACTTGGCAAGAGCTTATGCCCTTGAAGGAGAGAATGGCCTAAAGGTAAAAGTAAGGATGGGGAAGGAAGGGAAACTTGCACACATTTCACTATTTCATCCAAGGTACACTGACCTCTTTACCATCAATGTGTTATTTCTAAATTTTGCTTATACAAATGTGGGATAAATGTACACTGCTTGTTAAGATATTACTACCGCCCTGACCGGTTTGGCTCAGTGGCTAGAGCGTCGGCCTGCGGACTCAAGGGTCCCAGACTCAATTCCGGTCAAGGGCATGTATGTACCTTGGTTGTGGGCACATCCCCAGTGGGGGGTGTGCAGGAGGCAGCTGGTTGATGTTTCTCTCTCATCGATGTTTCTAGCTCTTTTTCCCTCTCCGTAAAAAATCAATAAAATATATATATATTTTTAAAAGAAGATATTACTACCAACACAGAGACCGAGGGGGAGCAAATGGTCAGACACACATCATAGTATCTCAGCTCTGGGCTTTGGTGCAGAGTGTGGAGGTGTTAAGGGAGGGAGCAGAGAGGGTAGAGGGGCTGTTTCTAGCTCCTTATCTGGGATTTTGAGAGAAAACCACCATTGGGGGGTCCCAGCTCCACTTATTTAAGAAGGCGGAGTGGAGTGGTCAAAGAGTTTAACTCCTCAGCTTTCCTCAACTCCCATGTGAAATGGACTGAGTTAAAAGTCGCTTGTCATTGGGCATCTTTAGCAGGGCCAGGTGACCCCCTGGTCAGAGCCTGGGGTAGATCACTTGATTCAGGAGCAGGCAAAGGGCATGCCAGAGCCTCAGTGGGCTCTATAGCCTTTGAGAGCCAACCCAATCGCAGAACAGACAAGTCAGTTCATCAACTGCAGGTGCCAGCAATAGTATATGTTTCATTACACTAATTAGCAAAGTGACTGTTCTCCAATAATAGTCACTGATACACTGATTCAACAAATATTCACTGTGTGTATTCTTTATAAAGCCCTATAGTAGATACTATGGTGGTAAAAAGGAAAATTAGAAATGGGCTTTGCCTCTAAGGTAAAAAAAGAGATAAATGACTGGATGACATATTTTTTAAATTGAGGTAGAAAATAATAAACATCATAAGGATACTATGAGAAAACAAAAAAGAAAGATACTATGATAAAAAGATACTATGGAAATTTTGAGAAAGACACTACGGAAATTTCTAGATAGTGGTTCTTAATACGGGACCAATGACTTCTGGGTCCATTAACCCCCCGACAGTGCACATAAAATTATATCCACAGGCATGCACACCTCCTGGTAAGAAGGTCTGTTAGAAAGTGTCATAAGTTTCTCCAAGGGTTAGGTAAACAGGCAAAAATCTGCACTGGAAAAGTCGTCCCTGTGTACTGTAATGGAATACAGCATTGGAAAGATACGTAAAATCTGGATTTGTGGACATTGGGAGAGGACATTCTAGATTAAGAAAGAAAAGCAGAAATGGAAATATTCTCTATATTCCATTTTTTCCCATATGCTTTACCCTGAATACTTACAGTGAACCTCTTCTTTTTCTCTCTGTGTTCATCAGAGCTGGGAATGCTTACACTTGGGCAGCTTTCCTTGTAGTCCATGGTATAATCCCTTTGGGTTTACGGCCTCAAAAGGACACCAGAAAATGAATCCGAAGCAATGGTCAGCAGAGGACAAACACAACAGCTACTCCAAAACATAAAACCTCTTGAGGTAATGTTCAAATTCCATCATGCAACCTTAACCGACAGAAAAAAACAAACAAAACTGATTAGCAAAACAATCTTTAAAATGCCACTAATTTACTTTTGATCGTTAAGTCTCGGTCCAGGTTAAGAGATTTAATTTCTGTTATGTCCATTTCAAGAGATAAACCACAATCAAACATTTGCATCCCATCCACCTTTCTTACTGCTAAGAAATTCCGGAAGCTTCTATAGCACAGTTCATGTGGACTAAGGGCTACCTCTCACCTAAAAGATCCCTAGTTTGATGGATTCAAAGGAGGGTTTTTCCAGGTATGGTTTTCAGACTTTTTGCATCAGGTCAAACAGATGAAGCTTGCTTCAGATTGGGATGCTATTTAGTAGGTAACCATTTCTGCCCATTTTACAAATGAGGCAACTGAGACACAGAGAGGTTAAATAACTCGCCTATACAGCATTTGAACCCCAGCTGTTTGGCTCCAGAGACCTGACTCTTAACCACTGTGCTATGCTGCATTTTAACAACTGTGGATCATTCTGAAGCACTGGACCCCTGATTAGAGATGTTACAATAGATCTTAATTCAGAAAAAAGCACAACTATACTAATATTATCATTCCACCTATGGACAAAAGACTCAAGATGTCACATTGATATCACCTTTGCTACACACAGCAGCCCATACTCACCACTGACACGAAATAATACCCCTTTAAGCAGTGGTTCTCAACCTTCCTAATGCCACGACCCTTTAATACAGTTCCTCATGTTATGGTGACCCCCAACCATAAAAGTATTTTCATTGCTACTTCATAACTGTAATTTTGCTACTGCTATGAATCGTAATGTAAATATCTGATATGCAGGATGTATTTTCATTGTTACAAACTGAACATAATTAAAGCATAGCGATTAATCACAAAAACAATATGTAATTATATGTGTGTTTTCCGATGGTCTTAGGCGACCCCTGTGAAAGGGTCATTGACCCTCAAAGGGGTTGCAACCCACAGGTTGAGAACCGCTGCCTTAAAGGGTTAGTCTGCCAGTCCCTCTCCATGATTAATTTCAGGAAGTCACTCTGACAGATGTGGTCATTGTAAATAAATTACATTCAAGTAATGATTTTAAGTATCTATCTGCAGGCATGGAATATTCAGGTATAATGAATTTTAACTGATCAGAAGGGGGCTTCCTTTAAGATCACCAAAACCTACTTTGGCCCTAGGAGGTTTGACACTCAGTGGAGCTTCCTTTAAGATCACCAAAACCTACTTTGGCCCTAGTAAGTTTGACACTCAGAGCGTCAGCCCACGGACTGAAGGGTCCCAGGTTTGATTCTGGTCAAGGGCATGTACCTCGGTTGCAGGCTCACCCAGTCAGGGCCCATGCAGGAGGCAACCAATCGATGTTTCTCTCTCTCTGTCTCTCCTCGTTTCCTCTACTCTCTCTAAAAATCAATGCAAAATTAGCATCGGGTGAGGATTAACAACAACAAAAAGCAAAAACAGCCAAAAAATTAAAAAAACACATAAAACCTATTTTGTTGGATTTGCTGCTGGAAATGCAGTCAGGAGGATTTACATGTAGTTGAATTCGTTGTTAGAAAACATATGTAACTGGCCCCCTCTTAAGCTTGGGGTGCAGCATTTGTCTATGTTAGTTCACCCTATAACCCCATAAAAGCAGCATTTGTCTAAATTAGAGCACTCCATAACTCCTTCTATTACTTTTGAGTGTCATGTGACTGATGCAGTAATTGGGACCAAGAATGACCCTAGGAAACAGACCCTCAAAAATGGGATGCATGTTTAATAAATGCCCTGATCACTTTCCGGTGGAAGGGGTGGGGGTGGGGTGTAGGGAACTAGTCACTGGGCACACAGAGATGGCATCACTCAAACTGCCTCCCCCGGTGTCACAGGACAGAATATAGGGGTGGGCAAGGTGCTGGAAGGCCACGTGGATGATGGAAATGCTATTTCAAAGCCTGTGACCTGGGCTGGGCTGCTTCTGGTTGTCTTTGAGAATATGCACAAAGATGGCAAATTGAAAGTCATGAATTCCCACATAGGTGGGAGGGAAATCTATGGCTGTTAGATTTTTTTTTGTGTGTCTTATAGCTGCTAAGCTGATAGGACTAAGGATCAAGACCAGAGTTTGATGGTTACGTGTTGCAGAGCCAGTTAAACATGCAACCCTGGAAAGTCTCTCATGCTGACACATGGGCAGTGGCTGGAAAGGAAAATGATCCTGAATCACAGATGCAGGCACTTGGGCAAACACAATGAGGCTAAGAATGTTGACCTCCATACTCAGCTGAACATCCCCACTGAAAGCAGCAACTACACCTCTCTCGGGAGTCTCAGCCTCCCAGACCCTGCCCTACATAAACCCTTCCAAGCTGTTTCACACGGGGATGCCAAGTCTCCTCACTACCTACTCCCATCACCCCTCACGGCCTCAAAACGGTAGTTAGAGCCCAACAGAACTCAGAAAGAAGTTCAGCGCCTACTCTGAAAGGAGATGCCTTTATACTAAAACTAGAGGCCCAGTGCACGAAATTCGTGCACAGGCAGGATCCCTAGTGGCTGCAGGCTGCCAGCCAGGGGACCTCCCTTCCCCTGACCGCCTGCCGCCCCCGCCGCTGCTGCGGCCGGGAAAGGGGGGAAGATGAGGGCCCTCCCTTCCCCCTGGCCGAACTCCTGTTCAAACTCCAGGTTGAGGGGACAATTTGCATATTAGGCTTTTATTATATAGGAAGTTTGCAGAATCTTAAAAATTTTTACCAGCAGGAGTCTAAGGAAGCACATATGGAAGAACATTCAAAGGATGTTAGACCCGAGAATGTTAGACTAAATATAAGATCACTGTGACCCTCTGCAGGGCCACAATGGATCCCATCAATCTCTCTCCAGACCTTCCTTCCTCCAGAGAGACCTTGACTGTAACACCGTTGACATTTTGGGCCAGATAATTTTCTGTTGTAGGGGCTGTCACAAGGGTGACCATCCACTGGGAAATGGGAAATTCGTAATCCTTCCAAGAGTTACTGGGCACTAGCTCTGAACTGATGCTAATCCCTGGAGACCCAAAACATGGTCCGCTAGTCAGAACACCCATCTTATTCCAGAAAAACGTAGAAAGATAAAATCACCCATCCACGCCAGGATCCAGCTAACAGGCAGTAGAGCTAGGATTCAAGTCCAAATCTGTCTGACTCCAAAACCTATGTGGACTTGTTTGCTACACCACATGCCTCTCCTTCAGTGAAGTTTCTCTTTCCTTCAAGCTAAATCAAACTGGCAACCTCACAATATTCAATACTTAGTGGCTAAGCTGATTATAAGCCAAGACTGTGCTATGTGCGCCTTAATCCGGCTGCTGCTCACAACAGCTCTACCTACTGAGAGGAAACCGAGGAGAAACAGAAGCATAAAAAGATGAAGCTACCTGCTCCAGGTGGTGGAGTCAGAATTTGAACCCAGGTGGTCAGCTTTTAGGGCCTTTACCCATGGTGCCACACTGCCTCTGAAGAGTCCCCTGAGAAGCCATGAAGCAGGTTCATAAACTTGTTTTTAAGTGGTTACAACTGACATTATGAAAAAGCAACCCTGTTATTACTGTAAATTTAGTGTATGATTATTCTATAAAACGGAAGCAATTTAAATTATACAAAATTATCTTATGGCCACGGAGCCAAATAAAACAGAATGAGAAGAGGGCTGATGTAAGAACCCCCACAGCTAAGAAAAAATAGAACAAAAAGTTACGTCGCTCATGTGGGATTAAAAGTTGGAGCTTTTGTGGGGGTTCAGAGGGAGGTTAGGCTTTTCAAAGGAGAATCACAAAAAGAATCTGCTGGGGAGTCACAAGATGATCTTGCAGGCTGGCTCCCAGGGGCAGCTGGCTTGCCTAGGAGCCGGTCCCATGACTCTAAGGAGACCAAGTTGAGATACTAACCCAGAATGGAGGAACTAACTTTACCATCCAGCTAATGAATCAACTCAGAGAAGCCCTAAAAGACAAAACGAAGCGGGTCCGACGGGAACAGAACTTTCAAAGGCCAGCCAGACCTTAGGAGGGGCAGCGATTTGCAAGGGTCATATAATAGCCGGTAAGTACTATATTTATAGTAGTTCTCACCAGGGGGACATCTGGCAATGTCTGGAGACATTTTAGGGTGTCACAACTTGGAGGATTGCTATTGGCTACATGCCATGGAGGATGCTACACATCCTACAATGCGCACAGGACAGCCCCTACAACAGAAAATTATCTGGCCCAAAACGTCAACGGCGTTACAGTCAAGAAACTAACATTTATTGAACGCTAATGCCAGGCGATTTTCACGCTTTTTCATCTCACAGCACACATAAACTAATTACTAAAATCCTGTGGCACACCAAAAAAATATATCTTTTGCCATTTTTACCAAAAAAAAATTAGGTATAACTTTGATTCATTCACACCGGACAGCTATTGTTGTGTTGGCTGTTGTCATTTTTAATGTCGCCCATGATTGTGCTTGTGATGGGACCAACATTCAGAGCCCATTCTGAACCAAGCTCTTGGTTAGATGTCGATGTGTGATGTTTCAAGAGGACGATGGGCCATTTCTGACCTAGAGCTGCACAAGCCTGACCCCTCGTGCTGGCAGAACTGGAATGCTGCTTTCCTTCTGCGTGGTTTGCTGTCTGTAACCCTATTCCCAATGGACACACAGTGCTCCCTTCTCCTCACTCTGTATCTCCAAAGGTGATTTACGTAGAAGGGGGTGGATGCGGCAATATCTCAAGAAATCGAGGGACAGTGTGTGCCAGGCAGGCTCTCGGGTCAGAGCTCTATTCAGGTCACAGTGCTGCCACCAAAGCTGTGTGACCATGTGGAAGTACTCATCACCTAGGTTTCTTCATCTGTAAAACCAGGATAACGATACGTCATGAGTTGTTGTGAAGAGTAAGTGATGTGTTAGATGTTCGTAGAACAGCAATTTTCAACCCGTGTGCCGCAAGAATTTTTAACACATGC